CAGTTTCTAAACCATTTTTTTACACTAGGTTAAGGTATACATAATTTGAAAAATAACGATTGATAAAAACAGAAAACGTTGTTTGAAGTATTAAGCGGTCTTTTGTTGGCATGCATTAAAGTCGACTAATTATTGCTATCCTTACAGGTGGGTCCAAAGGTAACACAGTATATGGTGGAAAATCTCCAGCCCAGGACTAACTACACTCTCTACCTCGCTGCTATCACCTGTCATGGGGAGGGTGTACGCTCCGAGCCCTACCCTATTATCGCAAGCCACTATCTCAAGCTCCTCGGTCGCAACGCCTCCGAGGCCCTTGTCTTTACCCGCACTTCGCTCTCCGATGGTGGAGGCGATGGTAGTAGCGGTGGTAGTGCCTCTTCCTCCTCCACCTTCAACGTGAAGAACCCATTTACCACACGCTTCCCCTTGGACATCACGACTGCTCCTTTAGGCACTAGAGTCTACAACCACACTTGGTTCATTGTCTGTCTTGTCTGTGTCGCAGTGCTCTGGTTGCTCATTTTCGCAATCATCCTAGTCTGCCGCTGGCGCAGACATCAACGTGTGAAGCAGCGCTATCCGCCTAATGCAGCCGCAGCCGGTGACGATATGGCATTTCGGCTCAAGCGAAGCAGCGGTGGTGGCGGTGGTAATGACAGAAACAGTAAGGTGGGGCTGCTGGACTCTACCAAGGAGAATGGTATGGTTACGCCGCAACAGCAACAACATCCTATATTAGCACCAGTGGGACTGATGAAACATAGCTATCCGCGACTCCAAATGGGAACAGGAATTCTAACCTCCCAGAGGACGACTCAACAACCACCACCTCCACCACCACACCACGAAGATGTGGGATACGAGGCACCAGGTAAGCTCGGTTCTACCACTTTCTTAATAAAATATTGCATCAATTCCAACTTTGTCAAGATGAAATTCTCAGTTTTCGGCTGATCGCTTTTCAAATGCTTGGCATCCTCCTGGGTCGTTCCATTCAGTAATTTTCATTTGTTTATCCACTTTTTAACCGGTATTGAATATTCGCTGTATTGGTAATTTCCCAACTAGTTTTATAATGTTTAGTCATAAAATTCTAAAGCTCCAGGAATCATCTTCCAAATTATATTATTTTTTCTTACAGAATGTTTCCTTCAATGGTTTATAGTTCCTGATTCCAGTATCTAACTGTAAATTGGCTTGCTCAGAATTGGCGCGTGGCCCAGTAATAAGTCTGAGGAATCTCACTCATCAGCTGTGAATTGAGTGATTTTAGGTCTAAAGATTCTTTACGTAACTTTTAATTTCGATTAGCAACTCGATGGGGGATTTCTGTTGATGATTACATGGATCAGGCTGGTACTATTTAGCATTTTATCTTAGATTCGTAACTTTACTTTGGCCTAATCTCTTTCAGTCAAATAGCCTGGTTAAGTCAAAACTCATCAGGATCCCATCATCCGGCTTTAACTTGTACGTGATGTGAGATACAATGCCAATTAATGGATGCAATATCTATTCCTACCATCGAAAGTCTGTTGGAAAATCCCGTTTGACATTTGCAAGCTCAGTTGAATTCTTACCTGATTTGACTTGACAGAACGTTTGTCTTGTTCAACGTAAAACATTTGAACCACCTATCTTCAATTGCTAAATTGGAATTAAAGTGGAATAGATTTCTAGTAAATGCGCTGTGTCTAGCAGTGGGTAATGCCAATCTTTTCCGTATTTTGGGTTCGTCGGGTAATTATTCTCCCGGCTGAATGTTTTCTCAGTTTCCATTTTACTACTTACCCATTTCTGCCTTCCATCATATGATTTCTTTTTATAATTTAGCAATCTGCTTTTGATATCGGTGAGCTTGAATTTAATCCAAACGGCTTCAAATGGATCATTGCTAAGTTTGCTTTTACTTCGAGTAAATTATTACAAATATAGCGGTGAAATCACTGTTTCAACTAGAAACTTAGAGACGTACCTCAAAGGAAGCAGTCTGGTGAGTAATGTTTAATGCATGCCTATTTCACCGTTCACGTCAGTTTTTTATGGTGAGCTTTTGAATTTCGGCTAATTTAAGCCTGATTTGTAACGGAAGGTCAAAGCAATCCAAGTCCTCATCCTGATTATTTACGCAACCAGAAATTCCCATGTGGTCTAGTTGGACTTGTGGTGAGGAGTTTTCTCTGTTGCATTTTGCATCAGCGCAGTCAAATTTCTATACTTTCTTCTCCCACTCACTCTCTGTTGCTATCACTGCCTTTTCCATCTTTATCTGCCTCTCTCTAACCCACTTCTTCCAGGCACACCGGTCGCAAATTCAAATGTTGCCACCGCAGCCTATTCGCCACCCTTTCTGACGCCATATGGCCCTTTATGTCTCCCCATAACTGGGTCATTCTCTCGTTTCTTGCCTCTATCTAGATGTCTGGGCAGTTGTCTAGATCTGTGCTTTTACTATTACCACTTTTGTGCATAGCCTGGCTGAACTGCCCCAGTTAAGACAGTTTAACCAACGGTAGGTCCAACCTTCCCTCGCAGAATCGATTACTTCCACCACCTCACCGCACAGGAAGCCTTAGGTGTGCGCAAGGGAGAGCCTCTGTACAGACGCAGCAAATGTCCCCCTGTGTACAATTTTATGGGCGCAAATGGATGTCTCTGTTTAACCATCAAAATCTAAGCCTATTTGCCTGAGACTTAGGCGCTTAAGGTGAGGAGAGCCAGCAGATGCAGGGGTCCTGATTGACAGCAACAATGGTAGTAGCCTCTCATTTAGTGTCGCATTTTTATCACGATAATACCTCTCTCTGGACGAGATGCACTACCTCGGATTGAGGAAAGGCTTTACTTAATTATTTGGCTGATAATTGAAACTATGACCAACATACATTGCTGCTTTGTAACATTGGGTAATTTCCTAGGGGCGTCGGCTTTCCGTACAGGTTATTTGGTGTTGATAGATCCTTAATACTCAAATGCACTTATGCCAATGTAAAAGTGGATAATCAGCTAATCTTACATTGAAAATTAGTGCACTGCCCATGCAGTATCCTGGTTTTTAAGTCTAGACACTGGTTGTCAGGACTTTGTTCTGTCCATACTAACAACGCAATTCGTATCCATGTTGCTTGATTTGTATTGCGTTTTGGTAAAATAAGAAATGCGGGTAACCCAAAGTGCTGTGCTGCCAGAATTCACATTGCATGAATTCATTACACACCCAATAGTAATATGTTTATTTACAAGTGATTAATGTCAAACGATGCTTTTGTTGGTGTCCCTTGTAAATATAACTAAAGATCTAGGCGCCACCACAAGGCTCTCAAATGTAACCATACTAAATTGCACGACGATATTGGCGTATTCATGGTTAATCTGCTAATTTTTAATAAGTTACAAGGAATGGCCTGTGGTACAAGGATAATTTCGCCCAGTCCTCGAATCGATGGGGTCAAAACGTGTTGTATGAATGTAGGTTTTGTGGAATTGTCCTACTCTCAGTCTGATATTTCCATCAACACCAGTCCTGAAAGTTATTTTTTCCGTTTTTATGTACGAATGCGTTTATTTTTGATACAATTATTTTCGGATAAAGTCTGCACTCATACTTGTAATTTATATTCATGTTTGTGGTTAAGTCTTCTACAATTTTGCATCATTTCGTGTATGAGTTGAACTTCATCTGTGTTATACATTGCCCTAGAACCATAATATAGGTCATTCAGAAGTCTGTTGCCGCTTTTTATCTATAAAGTGATTTCCTAAGTCGCTTTTTCGTTAGCTAAATAGTGTTTGTCTATTTTAGATCATTTAATGGTGAATATCACCTCTTAATATGAAGCATTATCCTGAGGATACTTTACTTTGTTTCAGCATAGAAGCCTTTGCCTACTGAGCCGATAGAAAATGGTATTTTATTTAGTTGGATTTTGCCTTAAAATTAGGGAAATTATGAGCACTTATTTGTTCACCCGAGCACTGAATTTTTATTTTTCACATTGGAGCAATATATCTTGAAAATTTGAAATAGAGGCAAGAATAACGGGCCTATGCGCATGGTGCACTCCAGTGACCATCGGTAGCTCATTGTATGAAAAATGATTATTTTCGGTAGCATTTGTATGAAAGCCTGTAAATTACCTTGTTATTGCCAATGCCAAGAAGAGCAGGGTTTATGTACATCACAAGTTAATCCTCCATTTCTTTCAATATAAGCACGATCAAGAGATTGTGTAATAGTAAGTGTAATTGCCCTTACTACTCCCTCGCACGCCATTATTCGTGATTTTGAGTCTTCTCCATTCGCTCTGTCGCTCCCACGGCAAATGAATCCAGTCACACTAGCACCGATCTCCCCTCAGCAAAACTGCAAAAAAAGACTTCTGTGAGTAATTTGTCTTGCTTGTTTGTTTGCTCTTCTCTTTCCTCCCTCTAAGCACGATCGGTAGCCATACTTCCGTCGCATGTTTCGGATGGGGTATGCTAAACCAAATTGATCCCGGACAAATGGAACCTGATAGGCAATAATTTGACACCATGGTAGAAGCAGTGATATAATGAGTCACCACTTTGCCAAAACGGGGTCAAGAGGGTGCGTACTGGGCCACCACGACCACTGATACCGACTAATTCTGTCCCAAACACTCGCACTCTGTGTGTCTACGTGTTTGAATGTATTCTATGATTGGCATTTATCTTCTTCGCCTCTTCATCCTTTTTATTTCCTCATTATGTTCCGCTCACGTTACCACGGTGACTACTACAACTCAGGACAGAGAGATAGATAGGCCTATTGTTCTACACTAATGCGGAATCATCCCAAGTTTGCACATAATTCTGTTCTCTCAGCAGAAATTTGACTTTTTTACTATCTCCGTCTGAATCACACAGCTTCCTCCCTTTGAAGGGTAGACGCACAGGTTTTGTCGTTTTTTTAGGAGATACCGCATCTCGTCCATAACCTGTGATCTCCTATGCTTTTCCCAAAAGCTGTCGGCTTGATTGATGCCTTTGCATTGCCTGAACAAAGTAATTTATTTATAGCTGTCTATACTTATAGGCTTTTCCTACCAGAGTGAGAGATGACCAGGGCAACTGTTAGATTTGCTATCATCTGCGAGTGCGCGCGCGTGGGATTTGTGCCTCCGTTGGGCGTAAAATCACGATTTTTGGCATGGCTTTCCATAAGAGCGCCATGAGGAAGCTTGAATGAGATGTTTCTGTTCAGTTTTATCTCCTGAAGTAATTGCTCTTCACACTCCATCTACCGCATAGCGTATGGTTTTGCCCCCCGGCTAGGAGAGCGGAATTTCATCCGTAAGGAGCATGGCTTCAAATCTATGAGATTTTCCGCAAACTCACATGAAAATCTGGCGCTTTGTTTTAAAATATTAATGTTTTTCTTGTAACATCCCATCTTTTGATTTTCGCCCCCAAACTCTCTCACCTGTCGGACATTTTTGTCGTTTTTATTAAGTTTCATATAAAAAATGATTAAAATGGCAGTGTTACATATGGCATTGGTATTTGATTTGTGAGTACAAATATCCAAAAGTCTTAATTTAATTAGTTGCATACGAACTTTTGGTGGTTTGAAATTTTCTTTTTAGTAGAAACCAAAAAGGTGGAACGGCAAGTTAACACCACAGGCCGATTTATGTAATTTTTTATTATCAAACAACATTACATATCGTTTCGTAACAGTAATGGCTTAAAATAAAACGAAAATTTTAGGCTTTTCCTCAAAACCTGTAATTAGCACAAGCTCATTGTGGAATTAATGATTTTAAAGAAACTCGCGTGTTCCACGGGATTGTGAATAACATCTATTTACATAAAAGAAATTTACCGATTTCGATTTTAAAACCGTTTTCTATCCACCTTACTGCTAAAGGTTGACCGTAAACACGGATCTATTATTCTTACCCTTTGTTAGTATTTTTGGACTATTTCTAATACTTTTCTGGTGATTGTTGTGGTTATTCACATTTTTGCTGAATTTTATAGCTCCATACGCATCATTTTTTGAAAGTAAATTAAACGTTAGATGTAAAATTATGCTGTTTTAATACCAAAGGTGATCAAAGAAGCAATGGAAATTCCATTCGAGCAAAATAGGATGGGATTATGAAAGTGCAGAACGATGATAAGGTGTAAAATTAGCCGCGTTTAAGCTTTCTTTATCATTCGTGGTGCTTCTAATAGGCTTAGCTTCGCTTGAAACTGTTTGCTACCATAACTAGCCGAATTTTTGCAAGTTCTCACTCACAGCCTTCGAGAACTTGGTGGAAGAAATAGATCCACTGATCTCGCCTAACTTTTTTCTCGATTTCTCTTCTACAGGTGGTCCGGTTGTTCCAGAGGCCATGAAACTCACTTCCACGGGTAGTATATTTCTTGCTACGGGTGGGACTACTAGTTCCAGTAGTCAGAACTCCTCACTACACAAGAGTCCTGTTGCAGCAGTGCTGGAAGGCAGTGGCATGGAAACAGTAAACGAGAACCTCACCATCAGTGTCCCTGCGGGCGCGCCAGTGGCAGCAATGGAAGACGAGGTGACGCTGCGCGCAGATGATCCAAACTCCGTCTCACCTTACGCTAGCACCTCTCTCATCGAGCAGCTCCGTCATGGTTGTGGCAGTAGCGGTGGAGGCGTCGGAGCCTTCCCAGAGGTTATTCCTCCGCCGCCACACTACCCACCCCCGCCGGTGCCACCGGACTCACCTCCGCCTCCGCCACCACCACCGGTTCAGCACGCCTACACCCCCTCAGAGTGCCACTACGCTCAAAGTGACTTGCAGAAGACCGAGGATGCTATGTTTGTTGGTGCACCCTACATGCCCACCGTGGGGACGGTCTATCCACAGGAGCAGTACTGGCCTAATGGCATGCGCTACATGCAGCAACCGGTTGTTACTACCATTCCCACTCAGAGTGAGTCCCTCTTTCATACCTCATGACGTGGGTGTATAGCACTGGTATTTATTTGGATAGTATAAAGCATGGGGTGTTAATTGGGACCTATTTTAAAGTGTATCGAAGAGGGAGTGCTCATTTTATTATCGCTTTCAAAAAATACATTACATATTCGCGATTCATTGGAAGAGATGTGAGATGAGTATATCTTCTAAACTTCAATGTAATTGTTATTATATTTCAACATTCAACAAATTTCAACCTTGGAGAAGCCAATAGCATAAATAGAACCTTGTAGAATAATAGTAAAATGTGAGTCTAATGTGAAATGGGATTGAATTTTCAACAAGGCATTCTAGCTGTTTGATCTCTCGACAAATTGCAAATCATTTGTGAGGTAGCCCTACTGCCGAAGTTGCTGACCTTTGTTCACTATTCCCAAGGTAATTGCAAAGTTCTCGGTCCTTTTTTGCCCAAGACAATACCGGCTTTCTGGCCGGAGCTAGTTGTACTTAACACTGGTGAATTGAGCCCCGTTGAAAAACTAACATCCCTAGCACAGGTTAATGGTTTACTTGATCCAATGGTGATTGTTAATTTGCAGTGCAATATTACTCCTGTGTCTAGCAATATTTTCATGTGTGTTCGCGTGATTGGTTCACGCAGAAAGGGTGTTTATTTTAACTGTGTGCTAAGCTCCGCACTAATAAACCCCTGTGTATCTGCGCTTCATCATTGCTGTTAACTTCACAGAACTTCACTTTAATGGATTTCCACAGTGCATTTGACTGTATCGCAGCATTGGTGACAATAATACGCTCTGCGAAGGTGTGTGTGCTTTATTCATGGGCTGACATTTGAGATTTAAAGGCTTGTGCGCTTGTATGTAGGCATGACTGTCAGCATTTTTGTGTTTACATTGTCATCCATTTGGCATACTTGCATGCGTGTGAGCCTTCATGGCGTGTTGATCTCAGGGTTCTGTTCACGGACGACATCTATCACGACGGCATAATCAATAAACTATTTTCTGCTGTTTATTCATCACCATCTTCACCCTACTCACTTTCTCTAACATCCAATTCAGAGCGAAAAGCACATCTGATAGGAACCGGCTATTTCAAAAGTCTACCCTTTACCCAACGCCAGTCCTCTAATCATGCTTCTTAATTACAGTTCCAGTAAACAAGATTTCTTTAGCTCGTCGCTGCGAGATGTTATAGGTGGATTTCTTCATCTGGAGTGCATGAATACGCCTCGCCAAAGTAAAGGACATAATTGCATGCTCCCCATTACAGCCTGATCATCACCGCCCTTTTGCTTCATCTTTTATGTAGCCGAGTGAAATCGCATCGCTTTTAAAGGAAGAATTCTTCTCCCTTTTCTCTCGCACACTTATCGCATGCTCATACTTTTATTCTATTAAGGATGGATTTAGTGCATTGAGAAATCTAATATCATCTGCAACTAAAGGAAGTTATGCAACTTCGAACTTCATTGTTATTCTGTTTTTGTTCAAACTGTTTGTTCTTCTCCCTCTGTTGTCGCTATGACAACTGTGTGGGTTCAATTTCGACAATGCTGCATTATTTGAAGATAAATTTCGCCTCTTTTTCTTTCCTCTTTCAGTCTTGCCCTAAATCCCACTTTAATTTAATTTTTAAATCAAATCCATCTACCCAGTTATTTCGAGAGGCATAATATTCTAGAAATGCGTGAAAATGCTAATTATTGTGATCTGTAAATAGGATGAAGCAGTGCGTTTTGGATTTTCCCGGGAAATCGTTAGTAAATTTGATAAGTGGAAGCTTTCATCTAGTTAAACGGTTATATAGCTCACCTGCGTTCATGTGGTTTTGGAATGAAAATATTATTTTTGACTAAAAATCTTGGAATCATGGGGTAGGTTTCGTAAAAATATTCACCTTTTGCTCTTGAAATAATCAACCTAGGCGATTGAAGATCCTTTAAATGAAATGTTCTACTTGAATTTGGTCTGTTGCTTGCTTTCCCTTGCGTAGTTGAAACCTATTCTGTTCTCCTCATAATTAGGCGAGATTATCGTGGAACGCATGCTTATTTTCGTATTGAAACGTTTTATAGCATATTGGTTTGGCTCATTTCGCTGTTGAATGGTTGTGTTTCATAACTAAACGCCTGTATTATGATTGAATAAACAGGCAGGAGCCTTGGTCTCATGGGAAAATTATTTACCAATGAGAACTAAGCTGTTGTTTTTAGGTAGGTCAAAAGCCAAATTACACCAAAAAATGCCACGTGAAATCACACGCAATGTGGTGTATTTGTCCTTCCAAAAAATTATAACTGTCATGCTGTTTAATAATGAGTTGCAATGGGTCTTCTACTGCATTCCTAAATAGTTATTTCTGTACATAGTTGGGTGCCTAATTTTCATGATCGTGTTCAGTGTACGCAAATGAATTTTTAGGAAAAGTGTTATTGGTAGAATCTGGGCATTTCTTAAAAGTTCGACAAAAAAGGGCTTAAACCTTTTTTGGCCCTGGGATCCCAAAAAGGTAAATTGACGTAAATGACATCTATTGGCATTCGTATATTTGAGGGTCGAATTATGACTTTCCTTTTTTACTACTAGGCAAAAAAGACAGTTTAGGATTGAATGACTAACTTTTCCTGGTCACGTACTCTTCGTCCTAAGTAGACACACAAAAAATTCCCTAGCTATTTGAACTCCATTTCGCCAGCGAAATTAATTAGCTGCTTAATCTGATACAAAGAGGAAGAATGAATGAGGGCAGTCAAGAGTACACCGGAAAGAAAAGAAGTAAATTTTGTTTGCTATTTCTCTCTTGCCCTCTATCTTCGTGTGCGCTTGGGGGAGCACGCACGCACGCACGATGTAATTCCTGAGGGGAGAAAGACACGGGCGAGAAGGAGGGAATTTAAGGGAGTAGGAAGACGAAAGTGCGATATCGTTTTACCCCAGCTCACGCAAATTAAATCGTCTCACTAGTGTTGGCTTATGCGCGAGTGCGTTTTAACGTTGACCTCCTCACGGCATCCCTTTACTGCCGTTACGAGGAAGGCCTGTAGAAAAAACCAAAACTGCTCGACATTAATATAACTTTATGACAGTTAGCTCAACTTAAATTTGCAATTTCTGTGATGGGTATATCTCGCAATGGTTCCTATACGACCGAGCTCTCGGTAGATAGGCAAATTCGGAGCGTGAAAGCTTTCAGTCAAAATCCGTTTTGTTGTCTAAAGGCGGTAGCTAAAAGTTAAATTTGTGCAGAAAAATATTCATTTACGAAATAGACGAGCAGAAATAAACCGTTTTTATTGGGCAAGAACAAATTGTGCTTTAAATACAATTGTAAGATTCCTCTCCAGCAAAGCTGATGACGTCAATAGATGCTTCTGGTACAAATATTTAAAAGTGAAATTTTCTACTTACTAACTTTTTTATCTTCCCTTGTTTTAATATGTTCTTTGTTGTTTAAGCAATGTTACTTCACGAATTTCCAAAGTGAATATGTTGTTTCATCAAAAGTTTTTTGGCAAGCCGATTAGAAGAGTAGAATTGCGAAAGGGTCAGATAAACCTACCATAACAACAACCTTTTCGGACGCATTCTCTGGGCTAAGACGCTAATTGTTGGGTTTATTAAAAATGACATCTTGACTCTCCTTAACTATAGAGAAGATTCTTTTCCACTGGCAATGCTAACCACGAAAAAATGGCCTAAGTTTGTTTGCAATTGCTTATGTACTTATTTTAGGAATTAACTAACAGCGAGAGGTCTATCACCTACCGTTATTTACATTTTAACACAATCAGTCAAAACGGTTAAAAACAGTTAATAAATTTATCTTCTCACCTTTTAACGTTTCACAAATTCTCAATCAGAGTTGATGGGATTTCTTCGAAGTCCGTTAGAATTAAACAGTGGTAAAAGGCTTTTCTGCTCCCTACACACTTTGCACCCACTGTCGTTTTCAGCTGAACGCTCTTCGCGCTTGGATGAGTTTCCAGAGCGGTAGAAAAAGTGCACAGTTTATGCTACCGGAAATGACTTACCTGGAGTACTTAACTCATCTGAAAATTGCTGTATTGTTATCCCGGTAGTAAATTGATTGCAAGCGCAATGAACCCATGAGTTGTAGCATTTTGCACGATCCAGTTACACCAGTTCTCGCTGTTTCAAAAATTACCACTTTTCATTAAATCAGCGTAACCCTAGTTGTTTGATAAATCATTTTGAAGTCCTGTATATGGCGTGCTCGATAGCTTATATCTTTTAAATTACTGTGTGCGACCTACAGGTGATTGTTGGCATCAGTCTTGAATAATAACATTAATTAAATACGATCCTTTCCAAAGCGCACAACATGCTCAGCAAGTAGTTAAAGTGGTAGCAATCTAATTGACCTCAGCTTACATTAATAACTGACCTTTAGTCCCCTCATCTAACAGCACTTTCTGATGGACTTTATTTGTAAAAATGTAATATTTATTGTATATTGAATCATAGAATACATTGTTGAATAAATAATTTTCACTGCTGATTGCGGAATGCATTATCGTGAAACTGCAGCGTAATTTGTGCGTGCGAGGGTACTGGGTAATTTTTATAATTGTTTTTGTTACCTTGCTTTGAAACTGGGTAGAATCCATCAGATTCGCGTGCCATTTACTTGAGCAACATCATTATTATTTTCTTTTTTAGTCAGAAGATGCATCTTTTTCTGTCCTAGTTACCCTTTGCATAAGGTCTAAAGTTGAGCCAATGCATTGTACGTTAGCCTAAAGTAGTTTTCGATAGGTCCGATATCTTTTTTACATTCTTTAAACAATTGTTCTCCATTCCCAACGATTGGTAAGTGCGTCAGCCAAAATTCCAACCTAAACATGACTTCCTTCGGTATTTGGTAATCAACTTCAACGACGCACCAAAGACATGGATTACAGGGCTGTGAAGGAACACAGAGTTTATTGTCTTTAGTTTCTGCTTATGTAGGTATGTTTGTGTGCTATGACTCAGGCTTTGTTACCAACGTTAACTGTTGTTGTTTGTAGACGGCACTCTCTATATGCCGCACATGATAGGGACAATGCCCAACGCGGCGTTCATGACCCAACAGCGTTTTGGGCAGCCGACTTACTACAATCTTCATCAACACCATCCCGGACAGATGATGCTGATGATGCAGCAACAGCAGCCGAGTTCCGCTCTTGCCGACGATGTGGTGCTGCCGACTTCCACACTGACACATCCTAGTCGCAACGCCCAGATTCACGCCGATAACTAGCAATTTCCCTTTCCTCCTCTTCACGATGCTGCTGGCGTTGACACGGCATCCATACACAATGCATTTCGTTCCGCCGTGTTTTATGCATTCCACAGCACGATAAGTGCACACACACTCGTACAGACACCAACCCCAAGAGAAGGCTAGACAAACTAACCTTGCGTTTTTTAGAGCTCATTTTCCTTCCCCTGCCCGCCTCCACCCTCTACGTTGACCTCGTGTGTGCGTACGCTCGTGTTTATATGCATCCAGGGTGTGAACTAATCCACTTCAATCTCTGTGACTGTCTTGACAGCGGAGACCCATCTATTAGCCTCGTGTGTGCGCGCTTGTGAACTGGAGAACTAAGCAACCAACTAACATGCAATCATCCATGTTTACTCCATCTCTCTCCATACATATATATCTCTCATTTCGTTTTAATTGCGAAAAGAAATGCACTGATAATATTTGAGCTGCCTCGCCTTTTGGGCGCCTAGTAGAGACTAAAATTATGGGAGCCGTGAGACTTTGGTACTTCGAGGAAATAATAAAAACCATGTATCCTTGTTTCAGAATGTGGGGTTCGTGGTTGACATTCTATCAAACGAGAACATGTATTTTGACTAAGCCGTTGAAAGTATGGTCTTGAGGCATTACTAGCGTACGGGTGCGCATTGTCGGTTCTCGAATTCGTTTCCGTCCGCCAAGAGCCGGGATTGACATACCTAGATACTTCGCCTGAATACAGCGGTCTAGTCGTGCTAATGTTGGTCGTTCACCACTCTTAACAGCAGTGGTGTTTTGATTTGCGAAACACAGATGTTTTAAGCGGTAAAGCTCTTCCTGCTCTGCAATATTTCTTAAAGTGTTTTAATGCGATTGAGTAATTGCGTGGTAATTGTTTTAAACACATTGGTAACGCAAACCCGTGAGAGCCTTTGGCAAACTACAGTCTTGTAATTAAAAGTAGAGAAAAAGTTTAGGGGAAATGTGAATGTTTTATAGCTTTCCAAAAGCGTTGTTAGATGCAGTCGTCTACTGGTCTTCATCTGATTATTTCCAGATAACATTAGTAGTATAACTTCTCTTGTCAAAAGAGACTCATTCAACTATTATTAGTATTTCTTCGTTCATTCATTCTGCTAGTATGTGTTGTGACTAAATTATTACTTTTCTGCAAACATCGCCACAGTGGGTTGGTGAATGTCTTAGTACAGTTTCAATGTGTCATTTTAAGAATTAATAAAAATAAATGCTAACATTTTTTGCGTGACTACACTGCTTGTAGTAGAATCTCCGTGATTGTACAAAACACCTAAGATAGTAAAATAAACATTAGGGACGATATGTAAGCCAATATAATACAGCTTTACCAAGCACGTGTATGCACTGGCTTCCAATTTGGGGGTTCCAGCAAGTTAATTTCTATGGTCCGTAATTTAAAGTCTCGGTCTTGTGGACTTGCGACGTAGTTGAACATTAGAGGATTTGTTCTGCAATTCCAAACTGCAGAGCAACATAGAGAAAATGTTGAATTTTGTGACTGCAAAGTTTATGTTTACTCTGTAGCAAGATGTTTATGTTTGGAGGCTTGCGTAAACCACAGCTTCGTTGCAATATTCCTTCGGTACTGCATGCATGAATGTACACTTTGGAAGTGTGACATCAGTTTCAATGGAAACAATGCCACTTATCGCTACTACTTCATCTGCTATCAAACACCGACCTTGGTGTTTTGCGACATTCACTCCATAACCTAATCTGTCAAATAAAGTAATGGTGAATTATCGAGTTCGTTCAATCTAATATACTCACTGATAGCTTCATTACCAGAGCTAAAAATTTCATATTTCCTAGTTTGAGTGACTTCGCGAATTTCTAGCGAGATGGGTCGGCAATCCATTTCTGTCGATCATCTCGTATAAGAAATTGCCTTTCTTGAACAGCCGCCTTCACAGGGGTGATGTTGTTATCGTCCTAGACCTAAGACTGCTACTAGAAATAAGTAAGGCATTTGTAAGACAGATAGTGTTCACTAGAGTCTACAGCACTTTCAGGAAATTTTGGTAGACGATCGTTCTACTAGGCTCACTTTTCCAAAACACCCACCACTAAGGTAGTTTAAAAATATTTTCTAACAGTGCATCAACAATGGTGGGGATTGGTTGCAGTCCGATTTTTGACAGTATTCACAATGTATTTCATGTATTGACATGCTATGCAATGCTGCATTTAAAAATCTTCGTCAATTCTCCATATTAACTTTAACTAAGCTGCACAAAAGACGATTAGGATGTCATTCTGCCTTACTGGGCCAAATCAAAACGTAAAGAGTATTCCAAGACTGGATGGGTCAATGATATCAAGTTAACACAATAATCTTTTTACATGTAGGCGTCTCTACCAGGTGACTAAGACCAATAAGCTTTCAAGTTCTGAATTTCCTTCTCCTAGCCTGTAAAATTAATCTATTCACATCCTCGGCGTGTGAATATTTATTCGGTTAATTCGGCCTTGAAAGATGTTTAACCCTAACTTGAAGACTATTTGTTCAGTTCTGGTTATGGGGCTTTTGCTAAACGATGAGACCTGTATATTTTAACACATTTTCACTAAATTTTACTAATCTTTGAATCCAAAATGTCTTAAGGTGAAAATATGTTCCCACAAAATGAGTCACACACATTTTTATTATGGAAGCCTTCTTACCAACTCGTGAATGTCTGTCATGAACTTCGAAACAAAATACCAACTTCTGATTACTAGAAAATGAACATAATTTAAGTTCATTATATTGCCTTTTTTATTTGCCGGAGCGGATTCATGCCTGCCGCCGAAATTATTGCCTTCTTTCACAATCCACATGCATTTTAGACGATCGGTTTTAATAGCGTCAAAAAAGCACGTGAAATTTGATAACTTTGGGTAGCTTAACTGCAAAACCTACACCAATAACTTCCTTTCTGAGGCCACATACACACGTGTAAATTTCTAATGTCATTAAACTGTTAGTCGTGACCTGACGCCAGTTTCCCGCTCCATCGCACGAAAAGCTGACGACGGTGTAGCAGCATAGTCACCCAACTAATTAATTTTTCATTCATACAGTGCAGACAACTGTCTCTGCTCTGTTGACACACAAGAATAGAGAACTCACTTCCTCGTACTTAAAACTTTATGCTCAAGAATCCACTTTAGCAAATCAAGATCTGAAAGCACCCACAAAGTATTGCTTTTAAATTGGTGCAAAGGAAATGGGGACGATGGGATCATTTTTAAGAATAGGTGTAAGATTAGAATTAAAATCTTATTATGAAATATCACTACAGGAAACTGATGCTAAAAACGTGGACATATCATATTTCACCATCCTTAGAAATTGCAGAGAATTCTCTTTCATTACCTCAAAAGCTTAGAGTGTTTTTGGGGTTGGTTTTATTTATATCCTCTTAAATACATATATCGTAACTTCTTATAACACGATATTATTTCGATTATTAAATCTGTCCAAAAAGTGGCAATTATTCTGATCCAAACTATTTTTAAAAAAACGGTAACAATTGTGATGAATTATTCCTGATGATGTTGATTCCAGAAATGTCAACTCACATGTACGTTCGTTCTCAGTCTCTACAATACAGGCTAGTTCATTTCTCCGAATCACTATATCGCGTAAACTACCTACCACAAACCCCAACGGAAGACAAAATTAATAGCCGCTTCCATTAGTGTTTCCACTCTCTAACTTACTTCCCTTCTGTCCAGTTTTTTCTCCCAAGTTCGGATGGTAATCACGCAATGTCAGCTTTGAGAAAAAGTCAATTTTTTTCATGAATCGGTTTAAGAGCAGATTGCTTTTCTCATTCAAATCTCACTGATTAAACGAAAACCTATTTTAGACCTTCTCAAAGTAATTTTTGCCTCGGTCTGAAATAGATTCCGGATTTACTGCTTGTTCAATGAAGAAAATTAATTTGCTTTCATTGTAAATATTGAGTGACTGTAATTACTGCTTTAATCAAAAATTACAAAGGAAGATATTGCAACTATAGTTTGATCTAATCGCATCTTCTGTAGGTTCGTGAATAGATGTTTTTGGAAACTTGCAAGATTTTCCAAATAAAATACAATGCTTCCTCAGCACTATCGTTATTTGTTAAAAAAACGCTGATCTTAAAATACTGAAGCCGTACAGCTATGTAAAACAATGGTCGGGAAGTACAGAATGTCAGGGATAAAGTATATTGGAAAATCCATTCGCTGTCAAAACCTTTAAAGAAAATGGACCGCTTCCTTTGAACACTAAAATTTTGCCAATTTTGACTAGTGTATGAAAAATGTAAGCATCCTTGTATTAGGCACATCCTTCATCTGTTGGGGACAAGAGTTTGTGTAAATGATTAAAACAAGCCAATGAGGGAAACATCTCATTTATTTGTGACGCCGTGTCACATGCGATTCTGGCACCAAACTCGTAGTTAAACAATAACTTCGTTTTAGTTGTGGATTTATGGAAGATTATTTGGAACCTAATTTAAATTCTTTACGGTTGTCTACACCAAATGTAGGCATCTGGAAGGATTTCAAAAGTTCATGCGGACCAGTTTATGGCTGCACAAACTCAATTTACAGACCTTGTACTACCAAATTTTAGTTAAGATAGCTATTTTGGTTCCTGTGACGCCCAAAAATTATTTCAAAGTTTACTATTTTCTCCAGGAAACTTCCGTATGTTCCAAATAAAAATTCCGGTGCTCTTCTAGCCCGATAAGGGCAGAAAGCTTTACTCATCGCTGGAACTGAATTGTTACATCGATCAGAAGTAGCACTTTATTAGCATATTATTTATGTTTCAATGGTGTACTTCTTGTAAAAAGTGAAAATTTTAAGCTTAAGTAATGATATGATTTCATAAATTGGCCAAGAGAATAGTCAAACGTTAAGTTATAACAGTAAAAAAGCCAACTGAAAGAAATAAGTCATTTCGACATTCCCCATCAAAGCATTTGGCTATTTAGCTAAATTTATAAATTCTGAAGAATTAATGCGCATTCAAGATTTCCTCTCAAATTCTCCATTTTGGCATTAATCCAGTGTTCCAGATCAGGCCAGTGTGTACTAGTAGTGAACCAAGTTTTTCATCAGCGTATGTAAGAGTTGGGAATCGACAGGCACAGGCTGATAGTGATGGCACCAAAGTGGTGGTAGGAACCACGGTGACCAAAGAGTCTGCATGATTAAGTGTACTTTTAAATAAATTTTATTCTACTGCAGAGGGCGTATTTTGTGCGTATTTCATTGAATTTCGCTTTACTGAAAAGTAGTAACAGTAAATGCTCACTCAAGCAACAATACCCATGCTTCATTTTATAAATGCATCTCCAATAACTCGTGTTGTCCCGTTATTATGGTGTTATCTCAGCTTATTTTAATTTTAGAAGCAAATATAAAAGTTTCTGATAGGAAAGACTCGAAATGCTAATTATGGCCCCACGTGCAAAACAACTTGTATTTATAAGTCAGAGCTAATGGCCGTAGCCCCTGCTCTAGTTGTTCAAGTGTGGGGAACTGCGTCATAAATTGTGAAGACATCTGTGGAATAAGGGTCTACACCTACGAGGTCTTCAAATTTTTCTGCTTCTATTCACATTTTCATCCTGGTACATGTGTGCGCTTCAACTGCGCGCTGCTGTGCTTTCCATTGTTCGGTGACTAAGGCCGCTAAACAATTGAAACAGGGACCACACCGACCGCCGTGTTCTCCCTCTCTTTTTTCCAATGATGCAGAATTATCCAGGAGCGAGTTTTTTTTCAGACATGTGCTGCATCGGTGGACAAGGGGAAATTATGGGGAAAAAGGAGGAAGGAAAGCGATACCAAATTCGATAAGAAAGTGGTAGTCAAGGTCTGGTCTTTTCTGGCGAAATTTCCAACAGGAATTGCCCTTTCTGTGGCAACGCCCTCAACAAAGATGGGTGCGTGTGTGCGCACAGCCAATGGAGGTAGACGTTTGACAACGGCCAAACAATCAGGTGGACGGGTTGAGAACAGAGCTCTTGCTAGCAGGACTATCAAAAAACCTTGTGGATCCTACCAGCTATTAGTAACATGTATTGATGTAATCTCTTATTTTCATGGCAATTCGTTAGTAGTACTCTTTTTATATTCCTTTACCTACTGAAGACTCCAAAATTCCTCTAAGTTTCATTCTTTGTGAGCAATTGTGGCGATCTTTTGTAGCCATTTCCTGTTAGTCGATGTTATAAGTGGAACTTCTCTAACGTGATTACTATTTACCACGCTATTATTTGATTCTTGGATGCTTCAATTTTCAATGTAGTATTGAATAGGTTAATGTGGTGTCAAAATGTTTAACACTTTAATTTAAAATAGGCAGGAAAGTTATACAGGGGACTAGGAGTGCCAAAAATAAAAACCACGTGATATAATAATTGGCAAAAGTAAGTACATAGTACTAGTTTTTCTTGCTTCATGAGACTGTGCCGAGAAGTCCTAAAAACCACCGGAATTTACACGGAAATATTTATGGAAAAGTGGGAAAGGCAACACCTAGTTTTATGGATGCTGGTACAAAACAAAATGCTATCTATACTCATGACCAAGGATAAGTTTTATTTTAATAACACCAAAAGTTATTAGTATCATTCATCTGACCACAAACAACATTTTGCCTTCTTAAGCTGCACTAAGTGAAAATGAGCCGGAATTGCACGAACAAATTTATCATCCTTGTCTAGTTGAGCGATGCACATTCCACAAGCACCAAATTTTGGTGGATTTGCAGCTTTGGTTAAGATTAATTCGAGCACTTATTCATTTCGACATTTTCTAATTTTATCTAGTAATTTATTCTTAATACAATGCGACAGGATGCATTTAGATTAATTAATCGTGATTCTGAAATGGCAGAAACTTTTTTAAATTTACCTATGTCTGCGTAAAAACAGAGTTTACTGTTTAATAAATAAGTTTACATAAACCATTCATTTCGCAACCCTCAAACAGTTGTAAAATTATGACTAAAGATTATCAAGTGATGAGCTTCATTAGCAATCACTGTCAGGGGACATTTCTTCCCTTAACACTAGAAGTGCTTATCTTCCCATCATAAAACCAAAATGATGAAAACGCTTACCACCTTTATCTATATAAAATTTCACTACTAATAAAGGGACTAATGTGATGATTTAATAAATTTACTAAGATTCCTGCATAAAACTATTGCTTTATGGCAAGATAACTAAATCTTCGGCAACTTTTACCCCTATCACATTGGTGCCAGGCTCTCGCAATAGCTGCACAAATCACCTTCATGTCAGGATGGACTTTTTTCGTCAAATGTAAACAGATAATTGTTGAAAGATCGACATCAACAACCAAACAAACCTAAAGCAAACGGAAAGGTGATCATTTGTGTTAAATGGTGATTTGTGATGTCCTATCATGAGCTGGCATGGGGCTTGGATTCCAATCAGCAAAACTTTAAAGTGCTGTCTAAAAGCGGACAAACTTACAACTACACAGCGAAATGAAATGCTTTGAGGATAAAATAAACACACTAAACATTTTTTGAACACGGAAAAAAGAAAGGGCTTTGATTCTAGAATTTCTCAGCCTCTTAAGTCTTTTCACACTTCATAACCGTTTCAACCATCACGTCATTCACCACAGAAAATAATGGTTTACAGGCGACCATTTACATACATCAAAGGGTGAAGAATTTTAAGCCCTTTTTTATTTATCTAAGCATTAGGAGAAGCAAGGCTTGTCTTCATAATTTGCTTTTTAATTTGTAAATATCTACGTGTAATATCGGAAGTTTTGACTTACGAAACAGAAACAAATCAACCTGATGCCTTTATCTGCATTATTTAATCCGCGCACTAGTTCTATTTAAAATGAATTGTTTATTCAAAAGTGAATCTGCCAGTCCTGTGGAAAATTTGTCTCAAGCGACGACATCTATTTTTCGCAACACTATTTTAGCTCGGACTGCAGAATTTTTTATTTTTTTAGGGAAGTTATGTAATCTGCCCACCACAAAAGATGCTTATTCTTGTTTGAATCAATCCATTTCATTTACGTGTTGCTTATTATTTCATTAATTACCTCTTGTTTTTTGCATTGGAAGTACGGGGCCCTTAGAGAACTTATCAATTAGGACCGCAGGATTTGAACAACGAGTCAATTTCTCAAAGACTAAATTTTTCGTTAAAAATATCAAAAAATATCATAAGGAGTAACCTCTATCATAAAGTGTAAATACAAAATCCCTAATTCCATATTCTCATTTTACAACTACAATTACAACGCAAATAATTGGCGTATCTAAATGCGATACGTCAGTTAATTTGCAACAATTGAGTAGACATTCCTTTTTACGATGTATTATTATTAACTTAGTTCAGTACTTTTTAAATAGTAGCTTGCGATTGTTCTGTTCCTACTGTTTGTGCTAACTGTTGCTGCCCTTATCAGAACAAAGTGGTTATTACTCTGATCAAAAATTGTGATTACCGCCTTTTCCCCAACGCTCATGAATTCTGGTAGTTCAGATCTAACACAGCTATCTCGTAAGGACTTCACCGGTTTCTGGCTTTATTTTAAAACTAAGACAAATCACTGTCGTTTTGTCATCAAGCAGAATTGAGAGAGTTTCAGATGTGGAGTTGTAAGCATTTCCAAATTAATGGATTAGAAAAAAAATTCTGTATTCCCTCTTTCTAGGACGTTGCCAAGTTGCTTTTGTCAGGAGTAGCGTCGACACTCGTGGAGATACTGGAGAGGAGACTATGACGATACCAATTATAGTAAATTTTGCTCAAGTTAAAACGAAAAGTGGTGAATGCCTGATTGATCATAATTTGTAAATATACTACCTTTGAGGCAGAGTATGGAGATGTATTTTCAAAAATCACTCAAAACATTAGAATACTGCGCCTTTACACCATGATAAGAGTGTGATTAGAAGGTATTTTGAAACAAACTATCGGAATCAATCCATGTAAGAAGCCAAAGCAATTACCTTTGGAGCGAAATGCTAAAGATTTTATGGTGAATGGAAAAAGTGCTAAGAATGCTAAAACCATTTTATTAGGAAATCCTAAAAACTATCACATGGCACCTACTTGCCATTATATGAAATCTTTATTGATCTTGATAAAGAAAATCAGCTTATGGTAGGGTCTGGCGTAGTTTATAGTCCTGCAGGAATCCCATTATGAGTGGGTAAAAGTTTCTCAGGGATTACATTTGATGGAGAGGTATAGGAATCCCAGTTTCGAGGTCAAATCTTGTATTGTGTGCCTAAACACACTGCCCGACAGAATAACTATTCCCAGGCAGACTGACCTTTAAAGTTTGTCGAAGCCTTTTACATGGTTGTCTATTCTGATTGGTATTTTTACCACCTCTTTGGCCTTGGGCTGCCTGAGACACGCGAGAAAGATACGGGCACAAAGTTAGTATATTTATAAGAAAATTTTCAAGCATTACCACCTCTAATGAGTTATAATAAAATTATGTCAAACCATAAACTATAAATGAATCGGAACAGATTAGAAGCGTGAATAAATTGAAACAAATGCAAAGCGTTAATAAGAAAAATCTATACTTGATGCAATATGGCAAGTGCATCTTGAGACAGTAGTTCAGGAAAAATGTCCTCGAGTCAACTAGCATTGTACTGTTTCTCCTGCACCACTATCAACAAAAATCTTAGCGCTCAATGACAAAACATTCATTATATCCATTTTTATCTGCAAGGGAAATCTCATAGGGTAAAGGGATTCTTTATAACGGCCAATCAGTCAAATTCATAGATCAAAGTTGGGAGGCTGTGCAACCATGTCAAACCTCGCAATGCGGGTCATGTGTTAACAAGACGAGGACAATTTTATAGTTGAGCCACTTTAGCGTGACCAAGTCAGCGCAAAAGAAGTTTGCATTGTGCTTGGACGAAGAAATTTTTATTTGCGGTGAAATAATTGAACTAAACTTTATGTTGGATATGTAATGATCAAGATCAAAAATTTTTTGACAGGTCCCTTTTTGGTATTATTTACTCACAAGCATAATATTTAGGTAGCGATGATTTCGTAAATGAAATTAATAAAAGAGAGAAATTTCACATTTGAGCAGACCTGCACCATAAATCACGTGAAGATTTCCAAGAAAACCTAATGAACCTTGATGTTGCATCACATTTACAAGCCAAAACATTAAAAAACCACTAGACTTTTTGAGACTGTCAAGCGCTCCTAGACGTAGCGTAAACTGCTACGAGCTTTTGATCGGTGTTTTTAAATGTTTAGTCCATTTCGCTTTGCATACCCCGGGGAGCTGGCAAAAAGACCTTCAAATGGAAAAACACCAGCATATTAACCAGCATTATAAACAACAATGCCCAGTCCAAGTCACCGCCTTAATTAGGCGACTTTGAGATTCGCTTTTTTAAGAAAAACTGAGTCAACTCCACCTTAAGAAGTTGTTGCGTTCATTAATAATGCGAAAGCAATAATAAAAACACTTGACGAATTGGCATCCCTCCAAATGAATATTAGATGCGTAATGCATTTTGTATCGGTGCCATTTTTTTACCATCATTAAGCTATTTTTAAACCCATAAAGCCATATTCTGACTGAGTAAGTGAGAACTAGAATGAGAAATATGAGATTTATTGGTGGTTGGAAAGCCCAAGACACCACAAAGTAGACAACATCCAAGGGTTTTAGCGTAAACGAACTGTCATTAAAGCGGGCGTTTTAAGGAAAATTTATGGGTTCATTGTGTTTACCAGAGGTGGAAACTTATAGCTAAGCCCTCCTGATCGCATTCGAGACTTAGTAATGCTTTAATCCACTCACATAAGAAATCTCATTTAAATAAATACAAAACCAGGTAATAATCATTACAAAATCATACTATTATTGGATGGTCAAGTAAGTTGGATGCTTGTTAAAACTCCAGGAGTAATCTGGTACAAATAAAGACTTTAGAAATAAATTACACAAAATGAAAAAATGCCATAAGATAATGTTATGCAAAAATTCAGTGTATTTTAGCTGTTATGCATTTATTAGCGGACCGGTGCAGAAGGACAAAGTGGTGAGCATTGGCTCGGCAACAGCCAGTATCAGAGGGACTTGTGGAAAAACGGCGCTTCACCACTTACCGAAAACCAGCCTCAAAGCCGGTCAGACGCAGTGGTGCCGAATCAGAATAGTGCAGTGCTACGGAAGGACTGGCTGTGGAGGAAAATGGGGCACTAAAAAGCTCCCATTCATAAATTAGGGGATGCATTTGCCTAGTCTCCCATGGAGATACCGAGGGAAAGAGGGTGATAGAAACATAGGAGAGGAAAGAGTAGGTTGTTTCTGTCCCCTTAATGGGCTCTGGCATACATCGTGGGCAGGCGGGCGGGCAGTCTGCAAACGGGCGCGCGAAACGTCGTCCTCTTTTTCTTATGCGGTTCCCCTACATAAAGATGGAATTTTGGTTGGGAACATGGCTCTGTGCAATTGTAACTGTCTTAGTGGTTCCTGACTTTCTTTTCATAATGGGTGACAAGAAAAGTAAAGTGAAATCAATAGCATTAAAGTCTTGGAGAATCATCCTTGTTAGTTCTTAGATAAAGTAGAGTTCTATTTAAATTTGACTTACATCCCTCAGCATTTTATCATAGGCTTGAGATTCTACTAAGCGGATTTACCGGAGACTTGACATCTTCTAACTAAGAAAACAGTAGAAAGAGTGAATAAATAGGAAATTCTTTTAAAGTAATTCTAGCTTTAGGTCTTCCATCGGATTATAATAAATTAATTGTTTGTTTAACTTCCAGTTTTGGAAAAGGTCCTACTTTGGGTAGCCGTTATCGTATCTTCGCCGGGTAGGATGGCCTCCGGACTGTGTAAGAAGCCCCAACATCTACTGTATGTCGAATACATAACATTCCATCCGGGCAATATGTCTCGTTTCACCTTCAGGGAAGTCTTTTGGAGCTACAATATGATCCCTCAACGAGACCAAAATGGAGTTGATGGAGCTTGCTGTAGTTCTCTGGCTAAAAGCGTCTTTATGATTCTTGAACAACTTTGCGACTATAAATCGGTATCGGAATGGAAAGGGACTCCTGTATGCTCAATGGCAACGAAATTGATGTACAGTAGTCAAATTTACTGTCCAACAACATCAATTGCTCTTATTTATTTGTTGCCGATCATGCTTGTAAAATTTCAAGCCAGATCTGTCTTCTGTGACTAAGTAAGCTTTAAATTTGCAAACTTTATAGTTAGATTTGCCAAAAAATATTCATAAAATATCCCAAAGCACCATGACAGCAATGAGGTAACTTGCGCCGGTAAATCGGAATTCTAACTTACATGAGCCTCTGGTCCATGGATTTATGTTTTTTTAAGAAACATTACCATAGATGACTTAAATTCTATCTCTGAAAACCTACAAAGATGCTCACGATGGTGCACAAATCAAATATACGGACCAGGACAACTTTTGTCACAAAGTAAAAGGTAAGTTTATTTGCACTTTTTACATAGTTTCTCCCATTTAATTAGGTAAACACATTCGATATTGTTGGATCTTTTGCTTAACTGACTTTTCGACCTTTTTTTGTCTCTTGAGATGATTAGTGCTGAGCACATGAGTTGCTACCGTATAAAATGAGATGCAATTAGTGTGACCGTATAAAAGAATTTGTCGTTATCTATAAATACAAAAATATGACTTTGGTATCACACACCATAGTTTAATTAAAATGCCTCACTAAACCAATTCGTTAGCTTTACAGGAGGCAAGTCAACAAAGCCCTAAAATGAAACGCCAAAAGTTGGTTATTTGACATTGATTGAATGAAGAGGGAGGCTATTTCCGTCCCCTTAATGGGGCTTCGCGTGCTTCAAGAACAAGGGAGCAGTCCCCGAATTGGTACAGAAACAAATTCCGTCTCCTGCCCTCCTGTGAATAACAGACCTGTGTAGATCTTAGCCACAAGTTGCTTTAAAGTCTTAAACATTTCCCCGTTTCTTGCTTTTGTCGTATGAAAGAGCAGATCGCGAGTTAATAGACGAAATAGGTATTCAAAATGGATTTATGGTTTCCGGCGAAAAACAGAACCCTGATTTTTTATTAACGCAGTAAAATGACTTTGGTCAAAGGAGCAATTTTGCGCGTTTTTGAATGCTAATTCGAAATGATGAGTTGGTAAAGCTGTAACTAAAAAGCATTTCCTTTCCCCATTCAGCTAATGGCATGATACTTAAGCTCTAGACGGCCCATGTAAAGTCGGACAATGGACAAATCCAGACTTGTTTTTTGGGGATTAATAAATGTGATCTCTGTATTCAAATATACTTCTTCGAAATCGAGTTGTTCAAATGTTATCATGAATCTTTTCCCAAGTAACCCAAACTTATTAGCAATTCAAAATTTGGGAAGGTTTTCTTACCAATGAATAATTGGTTTACATAATTTACACATTTTATAATTGTAACCAATACTTCTGGAAAAGCCAAATGACTCAAAATTTTTGCACATCATATCTGGGTGATAAAATTTGTGCACTAATTTGCCTTGAAATCTATCCAACAAGCACTAAAAGTTCTCAGCTAAACTGATTACACTATATATCTTTCACAATAGGGTAGTGGAATGTCAGATGGCAAGTCTAAGGGACAATATGTTAAATCAAACACTTCCTATTTGGAAATGTAGAAGGTAATGTAATTCTCATAATATTTCCTTAAAATTCGCTTGTTCCTACTAGATAGAGTGAGGTTAGTAAAGATGTTACAAGGTGGAAGAAAGCATAATTTGGTGGAATCATGAAAGCTATGTTTCCGTGAGTTCCTCAATTAATGGTTGGGCGAATTCTTGACTGTAAAGATTCGAAATTTACACGTCCACAGCAACACCTTGGCCACCATACCACGAACAGTTGTATTTGCGGATGAGTGAAGGCAAAGCCTAAATCGAGAACAATCATTTAAAAGGTGATCAGCCTGTGGGATGAATTAATACGGCCTAAAAGTCGTCTGCCATACCATTTGAATTAAAATCTGGACCAGTCATCGAAATTGTAGAGAAGTGGAATGTGGCTGAACGCAAAGGAATGTTCAAAAAATAGCTACATTAAGCAGACCTGAATATATTTTAAAATAACGACGAAGAAATTCCATTACTTCTCTCCATTTAGCTATTTTGATGGTCAACGATTGTGCGTCCTGACAGTGACAATTTGCGTACGGCGCTAGTGGTATATTCTCATTATAAAACGATACTTCAAAATCCTGTGTATTGTAGAGTGTTTTGTCAGGACCTCTGTATCTCTCCATGGACACAATTTTAGTTGGGGAAGTTGATAAGCTCTAATAATTACCTTTTATAGTTGATATAGTAAAATTCAAAAGTTATTTGTAGTAATACTGAAAAGAGTCTTAAGTATGAAGAAGTTAAACCCAAGTTTATTTTCTCGAGAAAGCTAGTATGTCTGATTGAATTTAAATACGCAACTCTCACTTTTTCTTAATTTACACACGCTATGAAAGCCTTAAAGTGGGCATCTCTTTTAAAGGCACGTCGGCGCCGTGTTTAACGAGATTGTAACCTCGGGAGCAAAGCTAACTGAACGGCGTTGAACTTGGGAGCATGTAATTTGGATTAGAGATGCACTTCTAAGGGAGTTTTAAGGGTACATTTCAAGGGGTTTTTCCCAAAAAGTAACCTGATTAGTTGGCA